AGTGTGTGAATGGGTGGATGACTGAGTGTGTAAAGCGCTATACAAATACCATTTACCATTTTACCTTTTTGTCCTTCATTCTAAGAGTTACTTGGTTCAAGACTTGGAATCAACTTGAGCTCATTCATCTGCTTAATTTCTTACAAAATAACAACGGGAACAAGACTCAGACATGTAGCTGCTCATCAGCCGACTGATCCATTACTGTCTAAAATATTGGAAGGGTATAAAAATGGCAGTAATTTCTAAACAGAACTTGAATCGCATGTTGGTTGTTTGATTTAAAATCAATTGTGGTGGCGTACAGATGCAAAGCTACAAATTTGTGTCTGCGGTCGTCGTATGATTCTGGACCTTCTGTATGTTCAGTATCACATGAATGAAAACCCAGATCAAGTATGATTGTAATATAAAATAATAACATTTAAAAAGAAAGTGTCATTGTGAGATTAGAAGAAAAGAAAAACAAATTTACTGCGCCTTTAACAAAGACTTGTTTGCAGGAGCATGTAGCCATTCTCTTAATTAGATCCCATCAGGCCACGCTGCCCCCACAGGCAGTATGGCGAGGGCAGCGAGGTGCTTGCTGTGCTCCTGGCGTGGTGGCAACAGTATAACAGGATGTGGGGAAATTATCTTCTCCTTTGTGGAACAACGGGATTTAAAAAACACAAAGTTATTTGATTTTTATCATCTCAAAGCTGCTTTTAAAACCTTATTTAAAATGACATTGTGATTAATCCAAACGGTGTTCGAGCTTTTTGAAGCCTGCTATGTTACTAATGGGGTAGCGCGTCTTCAGAGAGAAATAAAAAACATGATACAATTTGTACAACGTGCAATATAATAAATAAGTAAATACAATGCTGCTGGAAAATGCTGCTCATGCATCTGCTCAGTCAGCACAAAGCCAGTGAAAGTGACACCTATTAAGAATTAATGCATGCTGAAAAATAAATCACGTCACTCATGCTTGGCAGAAGAGGAAGCGGCCTTCCTGCGGCTGATAATGCCGTCAGCTGGTGACGGCGAACGCGGCCGTCACTGCAGCGAGCGAGGACGGTTTGCTCAGTCCGTGCAGTCGTGTGTTTCTATTTTCAAGCGCTCGCTCTGAGGCACTTGGGCAGATTTTAATTGTATCCTCGAGTGAATTTATTTACCGCATTTAAAAAAAGAAAAAAACATCAGGCTTTCAGGGCATTACACAAACAAAAGAGTAGAGCGGGAATTAAGTCTTACTTCTTATTATATAAGTGAGGATTGATGGGAAATGTTCCTTTTGAGGCTACATCAGCTCGTTATTCTTATCTATCAGCTTCATTTTCTGTGTTTCC